TTAAGATATATCAAAGCTCTGCAGGTCTGGTAATACTCAAATGTTTTGCAGTCAGTGGCACAAAACACCCTAAAAACTGGTCTATCTGTAATTATACAATAATTTTATATTCTACAGCAAGTATGCAAATATTAAAAACTTGTATTTATTCTAAAAATAAATTTTTTAAGAATCTCAAATCCATTCAAGTCAACATCAAACAGGTTTGTTAAGGGAACTGAGAGATCAAACAACTAATTACCATAAAGTCGGCTTTCTAACACATTAGAGCCTGATGATTGTTGTACCTATCTGCCATAAGGCTGGATACTACATGATTCGCACTTGCTCATTCAGCTGCTCCAAATAGAACGGATGTCTCTGGAGGGAGCTCTGAGCAGGGAGACTCAGTCGGGAGGGGAGGAGAGGGAGCAAGAAAACAAAAAATGAGGGGATGAAACGTGACCGTGGAGAAACGGCAAGGGGAGATGGTGAGGAGAAAGAGGATGGGGAAATAATGGGGAAACAATGAGTGTTAAAAATGCATAGGCAAATAAGATGAGGACAATGGAGCAAAGAAAATTAAATGAAAAAAAGGAAATAAATAACAGTAATCAAGAAACAATGGAAGATGTCTCCGTATTACAAAGGAAGGAAAAATTTTGGTCATTGTACCGACCGGACCGGTGGAGTAGAGCCTGGAATAGATCAATACGAATGAAATAGAAAGATAAGATGAGGGGAGAGAGAAACGGAGCGGGGGACCAAATTTGGTAGGGGTTCTGTCTTCACTGATGACTGATCTCACAATGCTTTAGGTGACAGAAGCAAGAAAAAAAGCAGCTTAGAGATCTCGGTAGAGGGTGCATAAGCGTCTGACAGGTTGAAGGTTCCGCTGTCTGCCTCTAAGGACAAATACGCACTAAGAAAGTTATGCATCTCCAGAAACACCAACTGTTTCTGCATCTGATTGAGTCTTGTTGATTGAGATTCACGTAGCTCTTTGTTTAAAAGCAACACGCACACGGACATGTCTGAAAGTTTTACTGCAGGAAAAACATGCCTGAAGCACCACTCTATTTGGGAATTACTTCAAAACAAAGAGTTAAAGGTGCAAAGTCACATCGTATGACATATTTTAAATTTATACACCAGTAATTCAATCTGGTTGTATACAAAGATCATTGCATCCTGTTGTTATTGTTGTGTCTTTGCTCAATTTGTTAGTGAATAAAGCCCTTTTTGCATATTTACAGAACACAGCGGAGGTACAATACCACACATGTATGCAGAAAGGTACGCCAGGAAGTAGCCTACCGTAGCTAAGCCACTTTGCATCTCCCTGCAAAGTGTAAAATTAACAAAGAAAAGTTTATGATCCAGGAAAAAAATGCAAAAATAAATAAATGTATTTCAAGAGGGATAAGACTGGAGAAGATAGTTTGAATGTTATGGAGGAAGCTAAAGCTGCCAAGGCATTAAGATGCGGCTGCTAAGTTGATGGATGCGTGAGTAAACATCCTTAATTATGGTAGTAGTGATAGCAATTATTAGTCTAAGTACAAATAATATCATACATTGACAGATTTACAAAAATGTATTGCTGCTGTAGATTCATTTATTTAATTAACATCAGTTGGTCTTCGACTATGTCAACTTGTCGCATTACCGCGAAGCACTGCAGGACGGTCAGACTCTATTAACGAGCTCCATCAAGTGTCTCCATCTAGCTTTCAGAGAGTGCTAAAGTACTGCCGCAGATGGAGCCATGTTTCTTTATGTCAGCTCACTGCACCCTGTGCTGGAATTCTATTTAGGCTCAATAAAACGCTACGAGGACAGGTGCTCATTTTATCACAATCAAATGGTTTTTGGTCTTCTTTTTACAGGCTTAAAACATAAGAAAGCTTCTTTATTTTCGGCGGTGATGTTCAACCTGTATTGCAAGAATTAGGTGTCAAAAACGTGAACGTTACTTATAATTGGACTGGAACAAAAACTACCCAATTAAAGAAATTCAAAACAGTCGAGTCAAGTGAGAAGGAATTCAGTTTTAAGATCAATATGAGCACAATGGTAAGACACACACATTCTTGTATCAGCTGACACACACACTGCTCAGACACCTAATTAGAGAGGCTGGGTCTGTGGTAGGTATGCATGTAGGTATGTGTGAAAAGCAAAGAAAGAATGTCTGCCTGTTTGCCATACACCAGAGAGAGAGAGGAAGGGATGGAGATGCAACAACAGAGAAATCAGAGTGTGACATGAAATATTTACTGGGGCTTCTGAGACGAATGTCCAGAAATAGGTCAGCTCAAGATGGTAGCCTGTTATTGGCACACACCCACGCACCATTTACACACATGCAGACACCAAATCTCCCCTTCTGTCAGGTTCCGACTCGGTCCAGCCCTTCCAAACACACAAGGGTTCTAAAAAACTGGCATTCAAAGAATTGTAATACTTTTCAGTCCATCTATGATCAACCTCACACCCAAATATGTGCCAACAAAGAGTGAGACAGCAGTTTTTTGTTTTTTTTTAACCCTGCACAGCTTGCCGCTTCGATCCCCCTAACATGTGGATTAATTAGCTTCAGGTGACCGGTACCACCCAAGAGAATTTATGTTCTTTAGTTGTATTTGAATCATAAATAAACTGGTGAGGAGAAACGGATGCAGGCCATTAGTGGTGCGCTCAACCAAGCCGGCCTTAGTGGAGGAGTGGCAAAAGAAACCTTTGTCAGAAGCCGTGTACGAAACATAGAAAGCATGCGAGGGAGCATGTATGTGTGGCATAAAATGAGCCCTTTGAGATGGAGAAAAATACAGGACAAGATCAAATATTAGAGGAGGGACACGACTGGACAGGAGAACCACAACTACTGCAGTTCTTCAAACTTCTATAACAGATCTTTCTCAGTAGATAAGATTAGGGAAGCCCTGATATTCCAGCTTTGAGATTTGACTAATACAATATAAGCATGAAGCATACATGCTTTTAGCACTTATTTTGCGCTGTAGATTGTTAGATAAGGCTTGAGCAAGTGATTTTAAATAAACAGAGAATATTAGTAAGCAACAGTCTATCAGCATGGCGATAGATCGGAGATTTGAGATGAAGGTCGCTAAAATCCGATATTAGTTTTTGGCCAATATCGGACCGATGTCTGATATTAATATTGAATTTAGACATAGATAAGTAACAGGCATACTCACTCTAGGAAATGTCAGACATTTCTTGGGGAAAAACAAACAAAAAAACATTAAAAAAAAAGTTTATTTCATTTTAAGGTCTGTGGAGTTTTTTTTTTTTTTTATGTCAATGTAATCTAAATAAAACAGCTACCCGATACTAAAAAACTGCATATTTCAACAGTCAATTTTTAATTTATAAAAGGATTAAAAACTTAGATAACAATTTTCAAGATAAATTCAACAGGAGAAAAGACTGTTTTAAGTGTGTTCCATAAAGCACAAAAAAATCAAAAAATTTTTATTATAACTTTTTTATATAAAGCTGGTTTTAATCAAGAATGATGGCAACATCATGCGGTGGGAAAGATTTATTTAATTTAAGACAATCTAAACTTTTATTTTTACTGTTATTCTTTTTTCATTTTTTCATTTTTTTTTATATCATCTGTTTCTTTGTTTTCCCAGAAAGCAATTAAAATAACTGAGAATGAAGGTTACTAAACCAATAAATCTGTACCTTTATATTTAGTTTCGAAAACAAGAGGGAAAAATCTTTATAATTTTCAGCTGCGTTGAAATTGTAAGAAATTAGAACAAAAACAAGAGGGGAAAAAAACTAAATGAAACTTTTACAATTTATTATCCAGCCTGAGGAAAAGTTATTTTTAAAAAGATTTTTTTAAAGGTTGTTCTGAGGTGTTAATTTAAAACATATGCTGTGTTTTTCAGATTCCTGTTTGCAAAAACGCTTGAGTTTAAAAAGTTTCTCTTCCAAGTCCCAATTAATCATTATATTGTTCTGGTTTCTAGCAATGAAGTACAGATGAGAAAAAGTTCAAAGGATAATTTCTCTTATTATGGTGGAAGTTCAACTGAAGAAACTGATTGCTCTATTACATCCACCTACGACACAGCCAATCAGATTTGAACCACACCTCCACGAAAGCCAATCAGCATCCAAAACTCATCTTAAAAGTCCTCCGATCCGCTAGGCTGCTCCTGTAGGCAGGCGGCGGATGCGCTGTGACTTCATTCGGATGACCCTGTTTCAACCCTCCTCCAGCCCCTCCTCCACCATCGTAGCTAAAGCTTCATCAGTGTCATTCCTCCTGGACTCTTACTGCGTTACCTGTCTCATCTCAACCGGTCTGACAGAAGACCGCCATGTTGAGCCTGGTTCTGTCAGAGTTTTTCCTCTCCACTGTCGCTTCATGCTTGCTCATAATATCCAGGTTCTCTCAACCTGTGTTTTCCAACTGGACTTCCATCTTCCAGGTCACTGAGTGAAGCTCTAGTATCAGCTGGATCTCCCCATAAAGCTCAGCAGACCGTCTCTCTAACCAGCAGTCTACAGACTGACCAACTTCATCTATCTCCACTACACCAGTTTGAGGCCTGGGGGATAAACAGCGCTATTCTTTGCTCCTGTTCATGCATATCTATCAACATTAAGTGTTATGTTTCCTGCCGAGGTCTGAGCACCAAAGACAAAGAAATTGTATCAATAAATTTCTCCTTATTGTCTTTTCTCTTCATGTGAGTTTTTCCGATAGAAAGTCTGGATGGTGCCAATCACTGAGGGACTGAGTGTGTCACTAAGATGAAAAGATGAAAAACTTTTTATAGTTAAAAATGGATCAAATATCCTGTAATCCTTTAAAGTGAAGTGATCCACTTTAATTAAGGTGGAGCTCCCAGTAAACACTAAGTCATACCTGCCAGGATGTCCATCTGTCCCCATCAGAGGTGAAGCAGCATCTTCTCCTCCCTGCTTTGCAGACCAGCCTTGTTTGGTAACAATAACAGAAGCAGAGTGCTTACCTGAGACCAGCGTGCTGCTGCACTGCCACTTCTCATAGCTGCCCGGTTTCCAGCAGGACTCCCACAGAGACAGGTAGTACTGGTCGTCGGCCGTCACCCACGCAGGACTCATCACGGCTCCCACATCCAAGCAGAGCGCCAGGAAGACGCACACCAGCCCGACCAGCTTCAGCGGGGTCAGCGGGGAGCTGCGCGCAGACTCCTCCGTCTCCGTGACGGCCGTGGACATGGCGGGGAGGAGGAGGAGGCTCAGAGCCGGAGCGAGGGATGCATGCGTGGGTTGGAGAGGTGTGTCCCGGTCCCGATCTCTCCACCCGCCCCGAAGGAAGGAGAGCGGCTGCGATGCGCGCTGGACGTGCGCTGCGCGTGTTGGGGCGCCACTGCCGCCGCGCGGCGGAGACCTATGCCGTTCCCTGCTGACGTCAGCGGCTCCAAGGGACCTGCGGGTGCAACAGGGTCCTAAAGAGAATCCCTGAGTTAGAAATATATGGCAAACCTTTTTGACATAAATTCGGTTTCGTCTAAACATCCATAATTACCTTCCAGATATCTTAAATTACATTTAGACTAGTCAAAATTCTTTTCAAGATATCTCAAATTACCACACAGGATTTGTCATTTAAAGCGTCACACGCTGATTTAACTTTTCCTCCTGTTGATTAAACTGACAGTAAGGAATTTTTTTAGGAACGATCCTCCTGGAAGCCCATTAAAAAGATCATTATACATTTTGACTAGTCAGAATGTCAATTTAAGATATCTTTAATGGAAAAGCTGAATAATTCAAGATATCTTTAATTCATTTAGAGATATCTTAAAAGGATTTTTCAAATAGTCGAAAATAAAATTCAAGATATCTCTAAATTTGTTTTGTCTAGTCATTATTTGCTTTTAAGATATCTATAATTGAGTTTTCACTAGTCAAAACTGCATATCTCCTATCCTAAAATACATTTAAGATATCATGAATTATGGTGGCATTTGAGATATCTTTGATTAGAATTATGACTAGTCAAAACTAAAATCGCGATATCTTGAAATTAGTTTATGACCAGTCGTAATTTAATCGTAGATATCTGAAATGCGTATTTCAGATAGTCAGTAATCCATGTTAGATATCTTAAATTGACGTCCCCATACAAGTTAATGGTAAATCTGACGTCATTTCGACTAGTCAGAATGAAATTAGAGATATTTCGAATAGGTATTTTGACAAGTAAAAGTATAATTAGAGATTTCTTAAATCACTAAAACGTCTAGTCATAAAACGATTTGAGATATCTTGAATGTAAAGGCGGTACAACAGAGTTTATGTTAAAACGGCTTGCCATAATAGACAAAGCCGCAGATCCTCGGCTTCTTCAAACCTATGCGTTTATATAGAAAGTGGTGGTGAAGATAGTTTGCACTACAGTTTTACATATTTATAATAAAACTCTTCTCTTCCAAAACCTTTTTGTTTTTACAAAAAGGGTTCAAATATTTTAGATCAATGAGATTCTGATAAAAATATACAAGAGGTGGAAAAGAACAACCTAAAACTTCAACGTATCCAGTGGAGAAAAAAAAGGAAAGTTGGTAGAAATCAAAATGTTAAAGCAAAAACTTTAGCATTTATTTAAGTTTAGGACTTTAACTTATTAATTTAAGTTTACCAATTCTGCGTTTTTGTAACTTAAAATGTTTCCCCCCCTCCAAACTTTATTGGAAGTGGACCAGGGGCGGAGCTAGATGGGGGGCCAGGGGTGGCCATGGCCATATCATCCATAGCCAATCATTGGCCACCCCTACCATTTATTTCCGTCTAATACAGACGGTTGCAGCAGTAAAACTCTCAAGTGGAATGTTCTAACTTAATTACATTTTAATTTTCTATATGTAAACAATTATCTGTCAACAAAAACACTGCGGTTAATTATGCACATCAATATACTCACATTAAAGATAAATACAGAATACATGCTCTTTTCAGAACTAGATTTAGTCTTATATGGGGTAAAGAGAAAGTTATGTCCCTGCAAGTCATCTAGGAATCTTCACTGAAATCGGAGATAAATAACTACTTTAATAATAAGTAATCCATTTAATATAGATATTTGTACATGTAAATATTAATTTTATGCAGAATGATTATTAATAAAAGTAGGTAAGTAATGACAATGAATAAGATGTTTGCCCAAGAACTCAAAACTGAAAGAATTTTGTCCACTACACCTTTAATTTGAACAGCATGGATGTTTAAATATATGCGTCTATTTGTTAGTTAGTCTTTATTTAGAAAATATGGATGTTTTGCTCATTAATTTTCCTGTTGGAACAGTGTAGATTGACCCTGATGTTCTGGCACCTATCCGCTTTCGGCCACCCCCTCAGTGTATTGGTTACTGCCTGGCCACCCTTTTTAAAATGTTCTGGCTACGCCTCTGAAGTGGACTACAAATGTTAAACTTCTTGCTTAAGATTAATATATATTTTTTTATTAAGAGGTAGATAAATGGGGCAATTTGTCATCAACATTTTCACCTTAGTCTTTTTTGTTTTAGGGGCGGTAACAATCTTAGTTTCTAACCTTTGCCCCTTATGGTTTCTCCAGCCAAATGCTCTGTGTGTAGTAAAAGTGTAATAAAAATACATTAAACAGTTTTTAAAGTTATAAAAAGGTTGCAAGCTTTCCATTGCAGATGGCGTTTGTATTTCAGGCAGGAATTTGGGTTTTGTTTCAGCTAAGCATCTGATTCAGTTTTTTTGTTTTGTTTGTTTGTTGTTGTTGTTTTTTTAAAGTGTCCTGTCTAGCGATGTGGCAATAAGAATAATTGTCTTGATGCCAAAAAGAGCCCAACAGATTTTACTTTCAAAAGTGGAGCAGTACGGCTATAGCTAATGTGTTCTGCTTGATTTATGCATATAAATAGCATACACGGAGTATTATAGACACTATATGGACACTGCAATGCAAGAAGAACAGGAAAGGAAAAACAGAAAAACTGAGAAAAGATAAAAAAAGAGGAGATAAAAGCGAGATAATGATAAAACATATTCAGTCTGCTTCATCGCCTGCAAAGAGATGTAAGAAGAACAACACAACCAACGGATATAGTATAAGAGATCCAGTAAAGTAACACCTTGATGCTATCGCTGAAGTATAAGTAGTATTATTTAATCTGACATGTATACTGTGGTAGCTGAAGATCATATGATCAAATCCTCTGATTGTAGCATTTGTATCAGCTGTAGACTCACAACTGACCTGTTGGGTTCATGCAGCTCCTCCAGTGCCTCATGGTGGTTTCTCCAAATAATTTTTACATAATGGCGTAAATAATCCATATTTTAGGATAATGGTGCTTTAGAATATAACAGTTGTGACCTAATACATAACCTAATCAATACAAATATATAAAAAAGCATTTTTAAAATTTCGTATATTTATAATTGATGCTGAGATCCTTGTTTTTTAAGCCTAAAATATTTAGAACATCGTGGATAGTCTAATGAGCAACCTGCTCCAGACCTGTTATAACATGTAATTGGTTTGTCCCATCAGAAACTAGTGAAACAAGTTTTGAATGCACAGTAAACAAATGTCCAGATCTATTTTCAACTGACCCTGACTTGTTTCCACCTCATCTCTTTAACTCCTGCCCTGTTCTTCTCCTCCGTTCTGCTCCCATGCTTTCCTTCACTTCTTCCCTTCATCATCCCTTAATATTGCTTGATGGGAAGTAAACAAGGCCATCCCTCCTCATCCATCAGTCTCTCCTGTTCTTTCTTTCCGGTCAGATAAACACATGGATGGCACTGTCTCCTTGAACCTGAGCTATACTGCTTTCTTGGCCTCCCTCTCTGCTTGATCACTGGCTGCGTTGTTAGTATGCAGAGGTAACAGTCATATTTCTCCATAGGCACTTCCCACTTCCCCCTATTCTATGGCTTTGCTCACCCTGGTCTCTATGCGCCTTCAAACTCAAAGTTTTGTTTCGTGAATTTTTTTCTGAAATCATTGAAAGGATTTAGCCGGAGTCGATCTTCTCTCTTCTTCAAGTAGGTGTCAGAGGCTGATGTGTGTTGGTTCTCATTATCCACCTGCGACATGAATCCTTCTCAAAACAGACAAATGCAATGCCACCGCCCCTCATTCACCCAACAAATTACTTCCAAATTTACACGTACGTGAAACATTGCACTCTCTCAGCTGTTTGTCTCTGTGCAGATAAAGAGTGCATCCCTGTGTGCCAGTATCACAGCCTGAGAAATGTGAGACATAGTCGAATAACAAGCTGGAAATGGCTGTAGGAAAAAAGTGCTTTGTCTTTGATGAACTGAACCAATGCACAGGTGAGACATCAGCTTGTTTTCTTTTTTAGTAATATCCAGTACATTTCAACCTTTTGTGCAAAACATATCCAAGATTTAAAACACATTGACTGAAATCATCTCACACAGCATAAGAAACATGCTATGAAATAAAAATCAGTTGGAGTCCTACTCGTTGATTTGCTTCCCTTTATTTAAGTCCCAGTTCCCTAACCTGAAGCCGAATTGTTACAAAAGCCATGCAAATTTTTTCTCTCGATAGACAAAGCACGTGCTAAATTGCTCTCTTGGAAGCCAAAAAGCATGCTAATGGGCCCTCTTGGAAGCCAAAACACGTGCTAAAGCACCCTTTCGACAGCCAAAGCACATGCTTAAGTGCCCCCTCAGGAGCCGAAGCATGTGCTAAAGTGCCCTCATTGAAGCCAAAATGCATGTTAAAGTCTCCTCCCTGCAGAAAAATGCCTATTACATTTTGAAGGCCAAAACATGTTCTAAAGTGCCCTCTCGGGACCCAAAGCGTGTGCTAAAGTGCTCGCTCTGATGGTGCCCTCTTGGGAGCCAAAACATGTACTAAAGCGTCCTCCCAGGAGTCAAAGCGTGTGCTAAAGTGCTCTCTCTGATGGTGCCCTCTTGGGAGCCAAAACATGTACTAAAGCGTCCTCCCAGGAGCCAAAGCACTCGCTTGAGTGCCCTCTAGAAAGCCTAAACACATGTTAAGGTGCCCTCTTGGGAGCCATATACCCCGTTTACACTACCCTTAAAAAACTGAGCCGAGACCGGTCCGAG